CCTGCCCAGCCCCATCCAAACGGCAGAGTCGTGAGCAAAACAAATGCCTACTTTGTCATTTTCAGTCCGGGGCTGGTTTCTCACACAGCAATAGGAAGCTGTTAACGGATGACTGCTAGGTTTCTGGCTTTCATTCCTGGACGGATGAGCGTCATTTACGAGGCAGAGTCCGCTGAGAAAGGCCAGGTTAGGGGAAAAGATTACGAGCTTGCTTTTCAGCTGGTGAGTCTGCAAGGGCTTCTGAGACATCTAAGTTGAGAGGTCATGCGGGCTGTTGGATCTGCGGGTGTAGGTAGCTCAGGAGAGAGGTCGGGTTTGACGGCATAAATCGTGAGCCCCTTGGAAACGGGTGACGCCCGAAGATGTGGATGTGACTGTAGAGTGAAAATAGAAGTGGGTCTAGGCGTGGGGAGCTCTGACATTTCCTGGTGGGCAGAGGAGAATGAAGCCCACCTGAGAGGAGGAGGCCAGCACGGAGGAGGAGAACCGGGAGAGGGGTTATCATGGGAGCAGACAGAATAGTTTCCGGAAGGAGGAATGAACAGGGTCAAGGGCTGCCAGGAATACAAGCACATCCTGAGCCAGACGCGTTCTCCCCAGGCCTCCCAGGGACCAACCTCACAGTCAGCAGTGTGGCTGCGTTACCCAGAAGCCCGGGGATGGGACTGGGGGACAACGGCAAGATGAGGGTCACACCTGTGCCCACCAACCCGTTCCGCCCTGGAGTCTTGTTTCTTAAACCGTTTCTCAGCATCACCATCCCTTGGGAGCTTGTTAGGCATGCGAAATCTCAGGCCCTGCCCTGCCGAATCAGTCTGCATTTTAACAAGATCCCCAGGGGACGTTTATGCACGCGAAAGTGCGAGAATGCACGCACTTGGGCCCCTGAGTCGAGACACCAGATCAGAGGCCGGACTGTAACTCAGGACAGTCTCCAGATGGCGCACAACTGAGCCGCGTCACTTGCAGAGTATCCGTGGCAACAGAGGTGACCGTTGATTACACCTACTTTCTTTCAAGTTTCAGTATATGACATAAACATAGATGGCACGTGAGAATCACCTGGGTAACTCTGTCAACCTCAGGGAGACATGCAGATTCTGCCTCCCCATGATTCTGATTCAGAAGGTCTGGGGGGACCGGGGCATCTCTGTTTTTTACTCCCGGGGTGATTGTGATGGGCAGCTCGGGTTGATAGCCACCGCCCTAAACCATCACTCCTCCCCCTTTGCACGCGTACTCCCCTTGGGCTGACCATTCATGACATCCTTCCCCTTTGAGGCTGCGGCTGGGACTGGGGCATTTTCATCCTGATCGAATCTCTGGCAGGTAGACTGTGTAATTCCCCGGGCACATGAGCCCTCCCTGGGAGTGCTGGCTTCTGACCTGTGCTCAGACACCAGGAGCAGGTGGTGCCCAGGCCCTTGGTGGGAGCCGGGCCCGGGGGATGGGCGTGACAACAGGGCTCATACCCACGGAGCAGGTGAAAGGCTGGGCTGCCCATCTCACAGCACGCCGCGCTGACACCATGCTGGCCCTGGCCTGAGTACCGTCCTCTCAGAGTCAAGATTCGCTGGGCGCAAGGCCACCCCCTTATCTGATTCTACTCAGGTGTGCACGTCTAAGGCCGAAATCCACAAACCTCACAGCCTGGGCCGGGTCCCTGCTTAGGAGCTTGGACATAGAGCTTGACACTGAGCTCAGATCTGCTGCACTGTGACAGGGCAGACCACAGGGACCTCCCCGAGCCTGTGTGAACTTCAGAGTGGACAAGTGTAAGTCTTTTAGGGAAAATTATCCTGCGGGGAATTGTGGCTCTAGCAGAGACCCCAGGGAAGGGATCTAAAATGGCGTGTCAGCCTCAGTTCAGGAACCTGGACCCCTAGATCCCAGGAAAGGACCCCCCCCCCCAAATGGATCAAGCATCCATGGATTCGTTGAAATATTTTCGGATGAGGGAGAAAAAATGTATTTCCTCCTCTACTGTATTTTGGGATGATAGATTCCTTTGTTTCTCTGTATAATGCAGTACTTTCCAAAGTTTTTCTAATATAAGCTTCAAAGGGGTTTCCTCTAGTTCTGGGAAGGTGGGGCTTTTTTTTGTGTCTTTTATCAAGTCTTCAAAGATTTTAGTGACTCCAGGCGGAGCTGCTTAGAGACTCTATTTTCCCTCGGGCGGCTTCCTCTTTCCACATCTCTTTTCCTGCAACTGTACCTCTGTCACTTCAAGTCTCACGGAGTCTGGTGGCTGGAAAAACTTCCCCGGAGGGGAAGAGCCTTAGTTCTGTGTACGAGTTGGGCCGTTTTCTCCAGAAGCCTTTGGGAGGGGCGATATCTCAGGACTCGTCCATGGTGACCCTGACTCTTTCTTGGCACACGTCTAACCAGACTCCAGCGCTCAGGCGACTGATTACCAAAGTCTACTAATTCTCTGTAACTTACACTTGCCCGCACTAATAATATCCGTAATAATCATAACTGGCATTTATTGAATGCTTATTATGCGCCAGGCACTGTTCCAAGACCTTTACGTTTACAAACTCATTTACTATCCATAATAACCCTGTGGGAGGCACACTGCATTTGTACACATTATAGATTACCCTCCCCCATTGCACAGAGCGGGAAACGGAGGTTGATGGAGGTTAACTAATTTGCCCCCCCCACCGCCGCCGTGTAAAGTCAGCACAGGAAGGGAGAGGCCCCTCCCAGTGCCTGTGACGGGGTAGAGCTCCATGATAGGAGGAGGTGGGAACATTTGCTCTGGAAGGGCGAACTAGTCTTGTCAGGCTGATTTCCCGTGGGCTTTCATATTGTTTTTAAATTTTCTAATATGCCACCTTCCATTTGGGTCCCTACCGTATGTCATAATTTCTGTCTCCCCAACGTCTGATGAGTCCTGGGGCCTACTGGCTCACTCAGAGGGGGTGTTGCTCTGCCCAGGACATCAGCAAAATCTAGGTCATTCCTGTGCAGGTTCAGGTGGAGAAAGGAAGCGGGAGGGAAGGCTAATAGGTCTTCTGGAACCCAGCTCAAGCTCCGCTTCCTCCAGGAGCCCCTCCCTGACTTCCCTGCTCCTTCCTCGGGGGTCCTCTCCTGACACATGGTGGGAAGGGCCACCCAGATGCCCTTTGAACACCTTCATTGCTCACGTGTATGGCAGTGGGCATTTTGTCCCCAGATGTTTCCACTTGGACAAGCGTCCCTATGCCCCGAGCTGGCCACCGACCAGGGCTTGTCCTGCCCACTGCCCCAGCTCCTCCCCCTTCGTGTAAGGTACGGAGGCAAAGGTCGTGGACGCATGGAGCTGGACCGGGCAGGCCGGGCGGGTAGAGGGAAGGGGATGACGGCAGAAGGCACGCTTCATCATCCGGTCTGAACACAGGCCCAAGAGCTGGTTCCACTGGGGGAGTTTCCCCAGGGGTCACACGCCTCCTCAAAGGAAGGGGCAAAATGGACCCCTCCGGGCAATTCAGAGTTAAGACCACTTTTCATTCTTTTTGTTTTAGAGTTGTTTGCTAGGCCAAAAATGCACTGGTTGTAGCCAGACTGCAAATGCAAGGATGTGTACAGGGGGGTGGCGGAGGGGGAAACGTCCCTGGCAAGACCTCGGGCTCAGAGCGTCCCTGGCCTAGTCCGGGGAGGATGGTCATTTCCTTTCAGCCTCCCTCCCTCAGGGCTTGAAGCATCCTTACTGTGTGCAACTGATGGCTGAGACAGGTTCCCTCATGGCTGCGATCATTCCAGACCCCTCACTCCTGAGACCCCTGCAGAAACCATGCGTTCAGTAAAGAGGTTTCCATGGAGGAATGAACCACCGAGGCCCTCTAACCTGCTCATGAGGGCCTCTCTACCCCCAGTCATTTGGGCCTCTTGTGGGGCTTGAGCCAGCCTGAGCTGATGGATCTTTCCCAGGTCCACATCCAGGCCTTGACCTCCACCTAAGGGCTTGAAGGCCAGGTTTTGAGCGATGGGGAGCGTGGGGCCCGCTGGGCCGACAGGCCAGCTGGTCCTGGGGCTTGCTCTAACAGCTGAATACCTTGGCCCCACTTCCCAGGCCTAGGGGTTTCCTAAGTTTCCTGGTATAACTCTTCACCTCCTCCCCATTTTTACCAGATCCCTGACGCCTGGAACAGTTTCTAGATGGCAGGCTGATGGGATTTCTTAGCATAGCCAAATACACTAAATTAGAGATACTCCTCCAATTCCCTCAGCCCCAGTCTCTCAATTTCCGTTCTGCATTCTACTTCCTCCCTGTGCCCAGTACCCCAACACCAAGGCCTCCGCCCTAACCCTTAAACACTCCATGGGTCCCACGCAATGGCTTTGCTGTTTGACAGCAGTGGATTTGGATTTGACCATTATATCGACAAATGTCTGATTTCTATTTTGCAGGGTGTTCCCACCTGCCAAGTTTTCAGTGACCAGAGTATCAGAAGGGCCCAAGGGCTTCGACCTTTGGAGAGGGCCTTTGTAGTTGGGTTTTTGAAGGGTTTGAGTCTTCTCTTGCTCTGGGGATGATATTGAGCAAGTTACAGTGTCTCTCTGCCTCGGTTTCCCTACGTGGGATGGAGATATTATCACTTTTACCATTGCCTTTTCCTCTAGTTTTAAGGCGACGGGTAAAACCCCAGGTAGTGAACATGTCGATACCCACACACTCTGGATTCTCTGGGACTTGATTTCAAATACTTAGTCCCTATTGTCAGATTGTGTGTCTGATCTCGTGATCTGATTCGGGATCAGAATTTACAGTCTTGAGAATTTATGAATTATTCATTCCAGAAATGGCCCGGGATTTTATTTACTGATACGCATATACAGGCCATTCCGCTACTGGTTCTGGCCTGGAACCTGCCGCCTGCACAACAGAACCTGTAATTCTGCCCAGCAGGAACTCATCTATGTCACTGGAGGGCCTCCCTGAGGAGGCACTGCCAACACTCAGGCCCCTTGTCTCACCCGCCCCTGGGCCCTGGACAGGGGAAGAGCCTACTCACCTGCACAGAGCATCCCCAGCACAGGCCTCATCTTCCTCGCCATGGTCTTGCTTCCTCTGTGCCCCAAGCCCAGCCTGGCTTGAGCCCCAGACAGGTCTGGGCTGACTAGTTGAATTTACAGCAGCCTCTGGCCTGGCCCAGCCCTCTGTCGCTGTGGTTTCCCTTTTCCTGCGCACCTCTGCCCAGCCTGGCCCCCCAATTGTGCTCGTCAGCTGGTCTGGCAGAGGAGCTAACCTATTGGACTGGACTTGAACCAGTCACCGCCCCCTCACCCCCCGCCTTTTCTCCATTTGGCAGGTGTACAAAGTCCTGGACTTCTCACCAAGGTGTGGGCTGCTATAACAGATAGGAAGTTAACATCTTGTAATAAAAAGGGGAATGATCTCAGAGGCAGGTTCTCTAAGCCAATCAAAGAAGGGCGTCGCCCACAATTGCTGACACACCCCAGACCACAATAGGATCCCCTTCTTCCTTCCCTTCTCCTCAACCCCCACCCGACCCACACTACAGCCACAGTCATGAAGAAGACAGGAAGGCTCTATGCTCAGAGAATTGACCATTTGGTTGGGAAGATGAGAGTTACACAAGTAAAGAAAGAAGACCGCCTTAGAAACACGATGGCCAACTTGTCTCGGTTTGCTTGGAACTGTCCTTAAAAAAAGAATCGAGGTAGAGTTGGACCAGACACAATGTGACATTCGTTTCCGGTGTACAACGTAGCGATTCAACAAGTTTATACCTTATGCTGTGCTCGTCACGAGTTAGCTGCCACCCGCCATGCTGCAATGCTATGGTGATACCTTTCACTGTAATTCTCTTAGCCAAGAGAATTAATGAATGCCTTATTCATTCCTTAACTGGAGCCTGGATCTCCTACTCCCCTCACCGATTTTTCCGCCTTCCTTCTGGCCACCATCGGTTTGTTCTCTGTATCTGTGGGCCTGTTTCTGCTCTTCGTTTGTCTGTTTGTTTTGTTTTCTAGATTCCACACGTAAGTGGAATGATAACGGCATTTGCCTTTCTCTGTCGGACTTATTGCACTTAGCATAACGCCCCCTGGGTCCAACCACGTTGTTGCAAATGGCAGGATCTCGTGCTTTTTTGTGGCTGAGTAATGTTCTTCGTCTGTTTACCCATCAGAGGGCACATGGGCTGCTTCTTGGCGACTGTAAATAACGCTGCAGTCAACAGGGGTGCATATGTCTTTTCCAGTTAGTGTTTTCATCTTCTTTTGAGTTTGTATCCGTAGAATTACCGGATCATATGGTATTTCTAGTTTTAATTTTTTGAGGAACCTCCATACTATTTCCCACAGTGGCTGTACCACCAGTTCCTGAGGGTTCCTTTTTCTCCACATCCTTGTGAACACCTGTTATTTGTTGTCTCTTTTATGTTAGCTATTCTAATGTGTGTGAGGTGATGTCTTCATTGTGTTTCCGATTTGCATTCCCGTGATGATTAGTGATGTTGAGCGTCTTTTCACATGTCTGTTGGCCATCCATCTGTCTTCTTTGGGAAAATGTCTATTCAGGGTCTCTGTGCATTCTTTAATCAGATTGTTGTTTTGGTGCTGAGTAATACTTTCTATATTTTGGATAATAACCCCTAATAGGGCATATCTTTTGCAAACACCTTCTCCCAATCAGTAGGTTACCCTTTTCATTTTGTTGATGGTTTTTTTTTTTTTTTTTT